TTTAAAAAAAAAAAAAAAAAAAAAAAAAAAAAAAAAAAAAAGCTTGGAGAAAATAAACAATGAAAAATGAACTGTAGAGAAACGTTGAGGCCTTTTCCGGGTGGGCCGGGGCACCGGGACACGCGGCCCTCAGCACGGGCCCGCCGCCCGTTCCTTATCGGCTGGCGCCACCTGGCGGCCGCCGGGCGCTGTTCCCGTCTGCAGCAGCGGGAGGAGGAGGAGGAGGGGGATGGTGATGGTGCCCTTGAGCCGCAGCCGGAGGAGGGCGAGCACCACACGGGACGAGCGGGAGAGGTGCCTTCCACTCTGCTCCTCCATATGCGAGGAGCCTTGGACTCCACGCGTCTGTAAACGGCGGCAGGAGCGCTGCTCCGAGCAGCTTCGGAAGAGTCGTGCCTTGTCCTGCTGGTCCCCTCCAAGGGACGATGGACAGCACCTCTGCCCAGTCCCTGCGGACATCCCACTGCATCTGAGCAAACCTTCAAGGAAAGGTGTTGGTTTGGAAGGCAAACGTCTCTTTAAAGAACAGCTCCGAGCTAACCGCCCGTGTGAGTCCGTGCAGGACATTAACATTCAGGGGCTGTCACTGCTGTCCCCAGCAGCGAGGCTCAGGTAAACCTGTCCTTCACAACCAGTAACGAGTGGAAATGGAAGGCCGGAAAATCAAAGCTAAACTGTGTGTGGGCGTCTGAGTACGAAAGGATAAATCTAATGGAAATATCCTTCAGCCAAACTGAGAAATCAGAGCAAGGCCTTTACTTCTGTCAACAAAACGCAGTGGAAATTGAAGGGACAAGGCTGCCATTTCCAATTGACCATCGCCATGGAAACACCTCTCGGTGTCAGCACTTGGTGGAGCAGGATGTGGGCAGCAAGGCAGGCACGGACAAAGCACCTGCTCCCGCTCCCGCAGCACTTCGGGGCTTTTTAAAGCGCTTTGGGTGGGTCAGGAGTGGCTGAGGACAGGACTTCTGACACCAGGGCTTGCAGCAGGCTGTCGAGATCCATCCAGAGGGAGACACAAACAGAAACCTTGATGATTCTAGATATTCTAGCTCTATCACTCTATCCAATTTACCAGTTTCACGTGGGAGATCTTGTTATTCAAGTAACAAAAGACTTATCAACTGGGGCAGAGGGGTGTAGGGAATGGCTTCATCATGTACTGTACATGTGCATGTATGTGTAAGCTGTGTTCTGGGGGGTGGTATGGAAGAGCAAGGTCTTTGGAATAAAACCAGGAAGTGTAAAATGCTTGAAGTGGCAAAGAGAAATGTCTAAGAGCATTCAGAAAGAGTGAAATGATCAGATTTATATGTGGAAGGGCATTTTAGGGAGAAGTTTTGCTTAGGGTAGGGAAATCATAGGGAGGGAAACAGGGAAACAGCTGTTGATGGTGTTAGGTTTAGAGTGATGATGAGACAGTGAGGTAGGGTTCAGGTGATGGGGGGAGGAAGATATCTGCAAGACAGGAGGACTTCAAGCCTGGAAATTCTGAAGGACTGGGTACCAGCAGCAGTAGCAGAAGACAGAAATAGTCAAGGTGTTGTAAGAAAATTGGACAGTCACATGTTTCTGTGTGCAAGTTTCCCTTGGTTTCTGAGCAGCCTTTTTGCTGATAATTCAGATCATATTTCATTGTTTTGCTTGTGGTGGTCAAAGTCCTGGAAGTGCTAATGAACAAGGAGCTGCTGGACACTATCAGAAAGTCATTTTTATTGCCTTGTCTTCAAAAGGGAAGACAGAGGAAAGGTGAGAGCTCAAGCTCATAAAAAGAGATGGGAGCAGCACTGAGTTGTGGACCTTCCCCCAGCCTCACTTCTCTCCTTTGAGCACCCAGTGCAGCACCAGAACTGCCTGGCTCGCGCTGCAGGCGCTGTGCAGAGGGTGTGTGGCAGGAGGAATGTGTTGCTGCTGTAATGCAGCAGCTTTTAGACCCCTCCATGCTATCACTGAAAAGGAAAGTGTTGAGGCAGTTCACAGCTTTTATTTTAAATTATCAGGGAATGCAGTAGGAGTCTGAACAGGAATCCGGATTAAAATCCTTTCCAGAATTTCTGCTAAGCTTCAGACTTTTTTTTTTTTCTTTTGTGTTCGTATATTATGGCTATATTTAATCAAACATAGTTCTACAGTGGTTTCACTTCTCAAACCACTAAGAAGCAGGAAGAGTATGTGTGTATGCTTTTTATTAGCCTTCCTTTCATAATGCACTTTCTTCCGTATAGAAATCTCCTTTCCTGCTGATTCATTATGTGTCAGGAAGCCAAGCGTGACATGTTAAAAGCCATCTTGATAGTGTTTGGTATTCAGTACTAACAATTCACCAGGCACAGGAGTCTTTCTTTAAAAGAAGGAGGAAGAAAATCTGCATATTGGATGTGCCAAGATAGTGGATAATTTGCATTAAGCATCCAGACATTCTTTTTTTGCAATCTGTTACCCTTCACTGGCTTTTTATTTTATAACCTTCATAGCATATGGGAAACATAAGTACTAAAAAAAAAGTGGCACCACGTGGACAGAAACTGGAGCCAGAGCCCTTTAGGATCAGCTGGAGCAAGGCCAGAGAAGGACCTTTCCTGAGCAGCAATTGATCCTCAATGGGACTTTGCTATGATGGAAGGACCTGAAAATAATAGGCATGGTTCTCTTAAGTACCCAGCTATAAAGCTGTCCATTATGCCTCAGCTCCTAGCTCACACCTTGATTCAGACTTAAGAGCCATCATCATGAATACAGGAACCCTGAGCTGTGATTCACTTCCCAGACTTGCCCCCACGATGCTCGTCCCAGGATTTAGCAGCAGTAGGGAGCAGCGCTGCCATCCTGCTGTAAAACAGACTCTTTGTACCCAACAACACGGACACCAGCTCACTTCTTTAGCAAAGTGTTTCTGAAGTAATCAGAAATTTCTTAGTGCAAAGTTTCCCAATAATAATTACAGTTCAGTAACTTTGTGTTGTATAGCTGAAAGCATCCAAAATACTTGGCTGTATTTTAATGTCACTGACAATGTATTTTTGTAAAATTGCTACTTGAACATCACTTATTTGACAATATCACTGGTGACAGAACAATGTATCTTAAATAATAAAATGAATGTGAGCAGAGGTAGTGAAGTGGCAAGCATGTCTAACTTAGATGTAATAATAAAGACTGAGTGTTAAAAGAAAACCTAAAACTGTGAATGTACTAGAAAGCAAAATCTGTTGGGTACGATAACAATAAATGTGGTCATCAAACAAACATAGAGGGAATTATTACAAAACTATCTGCAGCACTTTAAATAGTGGTATGGGGAAGAATACTTGTAAACCTGATTTACAGTATTTCTGCAGGTTATCCAGCCTGGCCAATAGCAATGTAAATTCTGCAGTATAAAACTAGACCAAGATGAGATGCTGTTAGGCAAAGTGACATTAGTGGGTGATGAGGCAATACAGCAACAGGTAACAAAAAAAGAAATAAAACTGCCTTGCACAACGCTGCTTTTGGTTTGTGCCCCGGCCTCTGGCTGTACAGGAGTATCAGCCCAAGCTGCTGTTGCCAGGATTTCACTGCTTCTCATCAGGGACCTTCACCACTCAGGGATCTGTGTCTTTACTACAAAGCCTAAGTTCGTGGGACTTTTAGCTTTGATTTTTTGTATTCTGGTTTAAGGATTTTAGAACACAACATGCAAGGAACGTGCCTCGGTAGACTATGGCAAAGACACTCCTGAAAAGAAGCTGCCAGGCATGAGGACACCTTGGAAATGATGTTGCCACTTATCAGCACTTCTCAAAATCTGCACATGAGCTGTGGTGCATTTAAAGGATAAATAAATAATACACACATATAAATTGCTCAGAGAGACATTAAAGGAGACAGAAGATGCTTTGAGTCAGTTATTATGGATAAAATATTTTATAAGTGCCATTTCCATTGTAAGTCGGGTTGCAAATAACACTGTTATAAGAAATTCTGTAACTAAAATATTCTGAGAGGGAGTCTTTATTCAAATCATTTATCTGCATGTAGTCTGGCATTCTTATTTAAATAGCTAACAGGCCCAGAGAGTTCCCAAGAAAAGAGCTTCAGTTTGCAACATGTTCTGTAACATCACTCACCTGTCCATTTCCCCAAATTACTAAAAGGTCATCCAACTCTGAGGAGGAACTCACACAGTGTCTGTTAGTCACTCCCAAAAAATGAGTCAGCCTTCACTGCTGCCACCTGGGATCTGACAATGAAGACCTGGCAGAAGGTTTGCATTTGCTGTTACCCTGGTGTATTTTTGGCTGCTGATTTTACTATAAAGCTGATTTTGTTTTCATATTAGACAGAAAAAGATTCCAAAACACTCTTTGGAATTATACTGCTTTACTTCAATGGAACCAAGGCTTTTGTTGGGTTTTCAGTGAAGGTTGCCGAGAGTCATTGCAGGTGCAGAGTTCCTATTAGCAGCAGACTGAAATAGAGCCAGATACTCCACTGAGGAGTTTTTCCTCTATATATACCTAATTCAGGAATTGCCTTTGGAAGCCTGTTGATACCAAGGAGCAGAGAATAGTAAACCAGTATCCATTATTGTTGCTTTTTATAGGTCTCCTTTCAGTTCTCACAGAAAGCAGCAGGAATGGATTTTTGCTGGTAATTTTGGAGTGGCTTTTGATGGTTTTGGCATGCTTTTGCAGTTTCTGATGGGAAATTTTACTGTACTCTTTGCAGTTCATGGCATCAAGTGGACATGCAGCAATGGCAACAGCAGTTCAGGGTTCTCAGTGGAACAGCTCGTGCAGCAGATCCTTGACAGCCACCAGACCAAGCCCCAGCCTCGAACACACAACTGTCTCTGCACTGGTACCTTGGGTGAGTACCTCAGGAGGGCACAGAGTGACTCAGCTTCACCCAGTCTGGGAGCAGGCTTTGTAGTACAGAGGTGATAAAAATGCTGTCTCATGAAACACTGAGACACAATGAACTCAGAGCTGACAGAAGGCTCAAGCATAAAAAGATGCAGCTTTTCACCAGGAACTTCTGGGGAAAATGTCAATGCTTTCTAATAAATGCAGTCCATACATGAGCTGCTCAAAAAGGTATATTCTCTTCTATATGTGCAAATTCTGTTACCAAAGCCTCAAAATCTAATGTTCTTCCAACCTCACCCTCTGAATTCCTTGCCCAGCAGCTCACTTTTTTGGAGAAGTGCTCAGGTGGTTAACTTCAAGGCATCACTGAGATAAGAAAGGTCTTATTTAGATATCATGAAAATACAGATCTCTTTCCTATTAAAGGAGATGACCTTGTTTTGAATGACACTACAGCAGCAAGAAACAACATCCTTAGTGTTAGTGTTTCCCACAGACAGCGGGAAGCTAAGTGATTCACTTTCCAACTCATCTGCTTTATAGCTGCTCCTTTCTAGCACTTTGGTCAAATAAAGTATATGACAAATTAACTAGTCTTTAGCAAAACTTATAAAGGAAAGTTGTCAGTGCTTCAAAGGGTTTATTTTTTTCTTATTTTCTTGAGCAGTTGCATTATACAATCAAGGCTTAAATAAGAATAATGACCTCTGAAATACCTGAGTTTGGATTAAAATTCACCCCTTAAGGCTCAGCATTTGATCCAGGCTTGCAGATCTGAACATGAATCCCTTTATTCTTCCCTTTGATGTTTTGTCTTGTGCTAAGTCTGCTCAGTGCTTTTTAACATAACAGTATTGCTTTGTTTTGTAACATTGACACACACATTCCCAATCCCTTACTGTCATTCACAAATACAGCAGCATGAAAGCCTTTCCCTTGTTCCTGTTCATTTCTGTACCTAGGAGAATAGAGAGATTTAATATTGTATTTAGTCTCAAAAGCACTGTCTTGAACTACTTTAAGTGACCTCGTTCAAATCTTGAACATATAATAGAGAAGTTCCCCTTCAAGGGCAAGCAACAAAAGATTTGGCAAATTGCAGTGGTTACATGGATGCTTTATGTTGCCCAGAAGATGGCATTTGCAATTGTAGCCATGAGCTATAGCCAGGAGGCTTCTTCCCGCCTTCAGTCATTCTACAGTTCTGTAATTAATGTTCCTACCTCATTCTAGTGAAAATTAATCACTTAAGGAAAGAAACATCAAAAATTCATGGGCTGCTGTTCTTTAAACAGCAAAAGCAGTCCCTGTACCAGAGTTTGTGACTAAGGTGCCTTTGCAGACAGAATTGTTTACTTCATCCTGCCTGATTACAAGCTCTCAGGAATGCAGGTGATGTTACCTTTACAGGCCAGTAAAGGTGCAGGCTGGTTTAATTCATGGAGGATTTTCTTCTGGTGGCCCTTGCTTGAACATCCTTCAGCAGCTTCAGTGCTGACCATGTGCTCTGTGTGCTCCTCTCAGAGTACAATGTGTCTGTCAGCACAGGAACAGCTGAGAGTCAGAGAAACACATCGCCATCCTTGTGGGAGGGCAAGAATGCTTTGTATCACTAATAGGTTAATTATTTAATAATTTGATTGGCAACTGTAAGACACAGTGATAGCAGGAAAATGTGGGCTACAGTCTAGGCAGCAGGGTGATGCCAGGGACAGGGAAATGATGTGGCATCTGTCACCTCCAGATTACTGTTCAGCATCCAGGCCCCAAGAGGGGTTGTCAAACTTCCCGACATCACCCAGCACAGAGAGCTGAGCATCTGTGCTCCAGGGCCTGAGGTCTTGCCCATGGGGCAGATGGAGCAGGGCCCTGTGCCACAGCTGACAACAGCAGCACTTGAGCTGCAGACTTTGCACTGAGATTAGGCACATTTAAATAACTCTGAAACTTGTCACAGATTCCAATTCCTCTCTGCCTGATTGGGGCAGGGAGGAAGGGGGCAGGTGCTACATGGGGTGAGGGTGTCTGTGTGCCTGTTGTGAGGTTGCTGTCACTGTGTGCAGTGGATCTGTGCATTAGACAGGACCTGTACTTCTGACACTGGTGAGAAATTTGTTTTATTTCCAAGGCCCCTCCTCCTCTCTCATGTGGGTACTCACTCACTCTCACACATGTATGCACAAGCATAGCTGTCCCTTGCTACAGCCACGAGAAACACAACTAGCACTGTCCTAATTTTGTATTTACTGAATGGCAAATACTGTTGTTTTCTGGCACAGGGGCAGGAAGCAGTGTGCATCACAAGTGTAACAGTGCCAAACACCGCATCATATCACCAAAGGTTGAACCAAGGACAGGTGGGTACAGCACTCATTCAGAGGTACAAAATAACGATGTCTCTGAAGGCAAGAATGAGCACAGTCACGGCAAGGCCTCCAGCCGAGAGAAGAGGAACGGCAAAGTGGCGAAACCAGTGTTGCTCCATCAAAACAGCACTGAGGTTTCTTCCACCAACCAGGTGGAGGTGCCTGACACGACCCAGAATTCTCCTGTGTCCATCAGCAGTGGGTTAAACAGTGACCCAGATATGGCAGATAGCCCAGCTGTCACTGGTGTGTCCAGTATGGCTGTAGCATCAGTTATGGGAAGTTTGTCACAAAGTGCCACCGTATTTATGTCAGAAGTCACCAGTGAAGCTGTGTACACGATGTCACCCACGTCTGGCCCAAATCAACACCTTCTGTCCTCAGATGCAGCTGCACAAGGACTGGTACTTGCTGTGAGTTCAGACGGACACAAGTTTGCTTTTCCAACAACTGGCAGTTCAGAAAGCTTGTCGATGCTACCCAGCACTGTCTCTGAGGAACTTGTGCTCTCCACAACTTTAGAAGGAAATAGGAAAATTCCAGAAACCACCATGAATTTTGACCCAGACTGTTTTCTTAACAATCCTAAGCAAGGGCAGACTTATGGTGGAGGAGGTATGAAAAGTGACAGCATCAATACCAACATAAGGCAGTCACCGACAACAGAACGCAGCTTCAACTTCAATACAACCATCAAAAAAGAAATTAAAACTGAGGACACATCTTTTGAACAACAGATGTCCAAAGAAGCATTTTCCTCCACTTCTGCATCTAACACTCTCACACTCAGTACTGGTTCAGGTTTACTTCCATCTGGAGGAGGTCTGAGCCCAAGTACCACCCTGGAGCAGATGGACTTCAGTGCCATTGACTCCAACAAGGACTATTCTTCCAGCTTCAATCAGACCGTCCAGAGCCCTCACGTCCATCAGACCCCTTCCCCCAGCTTCTTTCTGCAGGATGCCAAACCTCTTCCCCTTGAGCAAAACACTCACAACAATTTGAATGACACAGGTAGCTCATTTGTGAACACGTTAGGAATCTCCAATGTGAAAACAGAGCCCTCGTCCCAAACCACTTCCAACTGTAACGGCACAGTGGAAACCAGAATAGAGTCCACCTCTTCTCTCCAGCTCATGCAGTTCCAAGCAAACTTCCAGGCTATGACTGCAGAAGCTGAAGTTCCCATGGAGACCTCCCAGCAGGCAGAAGGAAATGAAAATCTACTTAAATCAGGGGATCTTCAAGCCTGCAACACAGAACACTACTTGCAGCCTGAGGCCAACGGGGGTATCAGGAATGGAAACAACCTCCCTATTCTCCAAGGAAACATGGTACAAGGACTCTATCCTGTGGCCCATCCTAGCTTAAATAACTCCTCCAACATGGAGCTTAACTTAGACCACTTTGACATCTCCTTCAGCAACCAGTTTTCTGATCTAATTAATGATTTCATATCAGTGGAAGGTGGGAGCAATGCTCTGTATGGACACCAGCTGGTGTCAGGTGACAGTGCTGGACTGTCTCAGCCTGAAGACAGTAACAGAGCGACGTACAACCAGGCCGAAATGTGCATTCCTTGCTGCAGCCCTCAGCAAGCCAACATGCAGCTCAGCAGCACGGAGAACGGAGCCAGCACCATGGCATACATGCACGTGGCTGAGGTGGTCTCGGCAGCTGCAGCACAAGGCACTTTGGGGTTGCTGCAGCAGAGTGGGCGCTTGTTCATGGTGACAGATTATTCACCAGAATGGTCTTACCCTGAGGTAAGTCCAGGGTTTTTACTCACTGATGTTTACTACTTTATCTTTCGTTGCTTTGTTAATAAGGGAACTGTTTTGTTAAAGCTTTGAAAAGGCTTTTAAAACATTTATCTCCAAGACAGAGCATTCAAGGCCGCTTGCTTTTAATTAAGCACTTCATTATCCTGACAGGGCCCTTTCTTCACTTAGGAAGCATCTGAACAGAAAGGTATTGTTTCATGTTTCATTGAAAGCCAGGTCTTTCCCACATGATGGCTTCATGGTGCTACCTAGGCCCAGTAGAGCAGTAGAATTTGCAAACTAGAGCTGTTCCTTAAATTTGTCACTGATGTTCCTAGTACAATAAATCAAGGCCTGCACAGCCTTAATGAGTTCAGCATTTCCCTCCATCTCACTGACTTCCAAAGTCAGTCACATGTCCCATAAGCTGAAAATGGCAGCAGCACAGACCTCGCTGATGTGAAGGAATGCATGAGGAAAGAGACTGAGCCACTAATGGGAAGAGCTTATTTTGAATTCTGGGAAGGAAAAAAAAGGGGGGTTGCGGGCACTGTTGTGTCTGTATGGAGGTGTTCAATAACTGTTCAGGGCCGGTCTCCCTGTCCCCGCAGAGCAGTCGGGTTCTTATGGGGATGCAGGGCCGTGCCCACACATTCCCGGCCTTCACCGAGCGGCTGCGGCCCGGGCGAGCTCGGCAGGCCCGGGCCGGTACCGGGAGGGCCGCAGCGGGCTGGGAGCAGCACCGGGCCGGGACAGAGCGGTACCGGGTGTCCCGTTCCCCCGGGCTGAGAGCGGTACCGGGTTCCC